AAAGATTGAAAAGAAAACATGGATTTGATTATTAAACATCAATTAAACAACATGAACAAAAATGAAAATCCACCATCCACACTATATACCCCCTGCAAATATTTAAGAGTTTGCATGTAACTCTGTCTAATTCAATAAAAGGATTAAAGTCTTTTTCTTGTAATCAAGTTAGGAAAGTTAAAATAAGGTGATAGGAAATAATAGTAATGAGGTGATAGGAAAATAATATAAATGTGAATCCCTTTTGAGATTAAATCAATATGTTTAATTCATCACAAATATGACAAGTATCTACAGTACACACTTGCAGAGCTAAGGAGATACCCCACACACACCAAACAAGGCAGTTGGCCTATAGAAACTTTAACATCACTAGAAGAAGAAGAAGAAAGCAGGCTTTGTTGCTGTACACATCTCTTGCTAGCAGGCAAGACAACTACTTAAACATACCAGACTAACTGGGATGTGTGCTTTTAAAAAATAATATCTATTTTTCAATATCTTTATTCATTTATTTTTATATGATACTGAGGATAGAACCCAGTGCCTCACATGTGCAAAGCAAGCTCCCTACCACCAAGCCACAGCCACAGCCACAGCCACAGGCACAGAATATGTACTTTTTACACCAAGTACAAGTATCTACAAAGGTCCATCTTTGAAGTAAAGGAATTCCCAATGAAATTGTTTGTTTAAAAGTAAATCCCAGGGGGAGGGAAGAGGGCAAGGAAGGGAATAGTACCAGGATGGAAATGGGGAAAACTATGTTATATTTATTTATGAATATGTTAAAATGAACCCCACTGTTATATGTAACTACAATGACTAAAAAAAAAAATTTTTAATTCAAGTAAGTCAAATTTTTCTATGAACATATATTGGTCTACAGTTGTATTTCTCAAGAATTAACAATAGTCATTTAAATAGTTTTCAAAGGGTAATATAAATGAACAAAATAGTGATTCACACATTACATTCCCGACTCCCATCTCATCCACATTTTCCATTTCTTAAACATCAGTGGTAGAGTGCTCACCTAGCACGTGTGAGGCACTGGGTTCGATCCTCAGCACCACATAAAAATTAATTAATTAATTAAAGGTATTGTGTCAATCTACAACTAAAAAAAAATTTAAAAATCAGTTTTAAATATAATCTCCTTAGCAAGGCACTCTATGGCATAGTTAGCATTCATATCTGGAGTTGGATTTTAATTAGCTACTTAGAATTGGCCTAGCCTCAGTATTAACATAGGTAAAAAATAAAAATGATGATGATGACAACAATCTCCAAGAACTAAAGTGAAGTTTAAATTAGATGAAGTGATGGAGGATAATATTTCAAGCACAAAGTCAGACATACAGAAGGTACTTAAGAAATGCATGTTCCCTTTCTCCTTAACACCCTTACCTATAATGAGAGGGAAGTTTTTCATTTCCCATTAAATGGAGCTTTCTTAAGAAGAAGTGCTAAGGGAGTTCATAACCCAATTGAGTCAAATGTATGAAAGATGATATATCATGAGCTTTGTAATGTTTTGAACAACCAATAAAAAAAATAAATAAAAAAAAAGAAGAAGTGCTATCCAGACACATTTGGAGAAAAGAAACATCATTTTGGCGAAAAGGAACCACTTAGAAAACCAAATTCATTGTGATTATATCACTATTACTATGCCAAAAAAAGTAGTCACCTTATAAGGCTGATAAGAGAGCCTAGCAATATGCCAAGGAGTCTCAAGGGAAATCTTGAAACACTAAGAAATGCATGAAGCAGTGTATATTTGGAAAGTGACAAATACCTTTCATTTTTTGTTTGTTTGTTTTGTTTTTGTTTTCCCACATAACTGGAAACAGTTTTAGACAAACAGCTAAAAAAAAATAGAAAAAGAAAAAACTTTGGATTTTTTTCTTTTCTTTGGCCAACCAATTTACTTTGAATCATTATTTAAATAAAGCAAAATAATGAGTGTTTTCGTGTAATTACCATAAAAACACAATTAATTATAATTTTAAAATTAGAAGTAGAATTTAAACTCTTAAGAATGTTTAGAGACAATGTATACCACGAATTACATCAATCATTGTAACTGTTGAAGACACTATATGTCTTCATCCATTGGAAAAGATAAGAATGTCTTTCAGCTGGCATACATCTGTAATCCCAGCTACTAAGGAGGCTGAGGCAAAAAGATTGAAAGTTTGAGGCTAGCCTGGGCAACACAGAGAGACCCTATCTCAAAATAAAACATAAGAGGGGCTATAGAAGTAGTTCGGTGGTAGAGTACTCAGGTTCAGTCTTGCAGTACTACCAAAAAAAAAAAAAAAAAAAAAAAAAATCTCTGTCAATGATGTTACTCTAACTCTGCATATCTGCTGACCTGATTTTTCAGAATGTCCCTTTCAGTCACCTGCTTGTCCTCAGCTTCTCAGATGCACTGTTTATTACAGATTCCCATAATCTTTAAATCTGTGAAACTGCCTTTCACATCCCCCACAGGCAAAAAGCTCATGCCATCCATTTGAACCTTGGAAACAGAAACTGCCAATATTGGAACGCAGTTTAAAAATCATGTTATTTCCAAATGCTTAATTTTCACATATTACGACATAGAGATTTCACAGGGTGGGGACGGAGGAAACATTAAGAGATCTGCCTAAAAGAGTCACAAGGCAACATGGTGGAGGAAAACTACTGTCTCTTGAAATCTTATTTCAAGTTCTTACCTTCAACTAGGGTTATAGGGTTGAGGATAGAGTTACACAGAAAGCTCTAGAAACATATGTGGAGAAGATGACCTTGAGATCACATCCTCCCTCAAGCTCACCAGTCACTCAGGTCCATGACTCCTCAGAGTTTGGGAGGATTCAATCATAACAGAAACACAATTAACCCAAGGGGAACCAATGGCATAAACTGTAGATTTAATATAGTGTTTCTCCTTCTTTCTTATTTCCACAACATTATCTTATTAATTCTTCAAACACGACCAGATAGGCAGCCTTATTATGACACACAGATTAAGCGTTAGTCTGCTGGGCTAACCCAAGTCACCAAAGCATGTCTAACATAAGACAAAATTTAAGAGACTTCCCAATCCTACTTTGAATCTATTCTGGAATAGTGGCTTCTCTACATCTTAGTTTTAGATTCAAATATGAAAGCTTCTAATTTCTTACGTAGAACCTTTCATATTAAAGATGCATAAAATGACTGAGAAATGATCATAACTCACATGATTGTAAAAAGAGAAAAAACTTCTCATAAGACCTCTTTAGAACTTCCACATGAAAGTCAAACTATTTGAGAATTCCATTTCTTTATTAAAGTCTGACTTAAAGAAAAACTGTCCTGAAGATAAGAATCCAGTATTTTCCAAGTAGAAAAATACCGGTTTACATATAATGACAACAGGTCAGAGAGCTATATAGGTTGTAACAAGTAACAGCTCCCCACCCAGAGCTAAAAAGAAAAAGAGAAATTAAAGTACCTTCTTTTATTTTAGACACAATAACTTAAAAACCTATTTGTTTTGCTTTCTGTGGGGCATTGGTATACACGATTTAAAAAAAAAAAAGAATCTCATCAATAGAAAAAAATCTGTTTCCTCAAAAACTCTTCTAATTTAAATTCTAAAATGCACAACTTGAAATTTAGGTTTATATTTCCAGTGCTTATACCTACCAAGTTGGAAATCAGTTTTTCAAATGACTCTGAACATACCCTCAACCACCAAAGGGCATATTTTTAAAATTTCGGATTTGTAAGTGTTATAACAAGTGTAATCAGTTAAGTTCATTAATGATTTACAGTGACACCAAAGTGGAAAAAAAATGAAACTTCTGAATGATCTAGTTTTAACTCTTTTTCATTTTACACATTGTTTTATGAGCCCCAAGAGGTTAGGTAAGTATCTTCTGCATTATTTCCTGGCTAGCGCCTCCCACAGCCTCTGTAGTCTGTAGCAGATACAGTTTGGTCTGACTTGCATGGAAAATTCAGCTACGAAATATTTTTATTCAACAGCTAAGACAATCAGTCCCCCCGCACCCCTATCCACAAGGTTTGGATCTAGAAGCAAAGTGAGAACATTTGGGAGCACAAAATTAGTCTGCTTTTATTTTAATAACCAAACGGTGATTGAAAAGAAATATTTTGTATTTGCAGAAATGGGGGACAGGGGTTACTAAATCTAGAAGGTCCCTCCTCCCCACCCTCTGCGCACACCACAAAACTTACAAAATTGTGACCCAGAATTTAAAGCTCGCACTCAATTTCAAAGCATTCATTTAAAAGTACAGAAGCGTCCTTTTTAAATGCCCACATTTTGACACAGCAAGAATGTGGCCGACCAAATATTAACCCTAAGAAGAATGGATGGATACACATTTACCTTCATAACTGACCCCATCAGGTCAAATGTTTAGCAAAGTAAACTGACCTAAACCACAAAGACTGACGGAAAATGATGAACAGGAGTGTCTCTGGGTTTTGAGAACACCGTTAGTTCCCAGCACAGCCAGCGGTCAATCCTCCGCAGGTAAAGAAATCTACACGCGCCCGCGGGTAAGGGAGAAACCAAACTTTCCCAAATAAGTTAGTTGGGTCTTGCCAATCTAAATCCAACAGGTGTCAAAACACATCACCACACAAAATCCTTCTGAACAAGTTCTAGAAAAGCACCGGATGGTTAGCAGAGAAACTGAAACGACCCGACCTTCATCAGGATTGGGAAAAAGCCGGGACCCTGTTCCAACTGATCACTTGGTCGTGGGGTGGGAGAGATGAAGATGGGAGAATCCCTGTATGCAGGTGGGGAGACGCTAGGAGATGTCCTGCCACAGACTCTGCAGAGGGATCTTGGAGCACCATCCCTGAGCTCTGTTAAATCCCCCTCTCACCCCCAAGCCACACACACATACATGCTTCCCTAGGGTTAGAACAGCTTGGGAGTGCCGAGGTTACAGACTGGGAGACTGAGAAGGGAGGGTGTATAGTACCTGCTTGTCCAGAGTGTCCCGGGCCCCTCCAGGTCCGGCGCCTGCCCTGGGTGGCGCGGGTGTCCGTTCGCAGCTACAGCCCTCCAGGAGGTACATGCCCGCCGGGCGGCCGCTCTGCTCGCCCTCGAAGTAGAAGAGCACATTTTGGTAAAGAGCAAACCACTTCTCGTGCCAGCGACTCGCCTCCGCCGCCTTCTTGCTCAGGAAGCCGCGCTTGGTGCCCTCCTTGCGCGCAAGGAAGGCCAGGTACAGGGCGTGCCCCTCGTTGTAGCGCACGCTCTTCTGCATGGTGAGAAGGCTAGGGAGGTTCGGTTGGCCTCCCGCTTCACCCCAGCCTCAGGGCCATCGCTCGGCAGTCTCCCCCGAGGGCACGCCTGCTCTGGTGCTGGCTGGCGTAGGGCGCCCCCTTTCCCGACACAGCGCGCAGGGCACCCTGCCGGTCCCCGGGGAGCGGCCGCGCGCGGGTCTAAGAGGCGCAGAGCAGGGTCTGGGACACGTTCTCCGCCCAGATCGCCGCCCTACCCTCGAGACGAAAGTCGCCGAGCCTGGGACGCCTGGGTGGAGAGCGGTCCCCGAGCGCACCGGAACCCGCCGCCGCTTCGCCCAAAGTTGCGGGAGCCGAGCCCCCGCGGCGGGCTGGGCGGTGCGATGCGCGGCAGCAGAGAAGGACTGTCCTCGGGCAACGCGCTCCGGGAGACAGAAGGTAAAACGTCACGTGGGAGATCAGCTGTAATCGGCTTGGAGACCGATTTAAAGGGCAAAGTCGGCGCAGTGGCGTGGCGGCGGCGGTGGCACAGCGCGCTCACCCCAGTGTGGGCTTTTCCCTTTCCTGCCCTGGCCCAGGCCTGTGCCCCAGCGCCGCCCGGATGGGGCAGAAAGCTGCAAGGTCGAGGAGCCAGGAGGCACCACACACCCGCTCACACGCACAAGGCGTGAGCGCACACACACAAAAAAACAAATACACTTACATACACACAGACAAATGCATACTCACAAAATGCACACTTAGACCAATACATTCACACAAACACAATGCGCACATACACACAAATACACACATACAAATGAACATTCATGCACAGACACATACGCACACTCACAGTATACATTTGCACAAATACACATTTACACAATGGTCACACTAATACAAACAAGAATACACACAAAATACACATATAGAAAATGTCACCCACAGTGTGCACTTCTTTTTACAAAAGTACAAATACACACTGTTATGCAGGTAACAACACACATGCTTGCATTGAGATGCTGGCTCAAACACAAACTCACACACAACATATACTCATATACACATTTGCAGTCATACACATTAACATAAACAACACAGACATATAAACCTATTCACAAACAATACAAACACCTTGTTATACACAGACTCACACAAGCAATCATAAACACATATACAATGAATACACATACACACATTCACATACAAACACATGTACAACACATCCACCCCAAAATTCTTATACACACACATAACAGATAAATACAAATTCACACAAATCCATAAATTTACACAGACCCACTAGTACACCACATGCCCACACTCACTCCCACAGGTATGTTCCCATGGCAGTAGGAGTCCCAATGTGGCTTTTTATAAATGGCAACTTGGGCTTTTCTGCTTGTAGCTGCACTTTAGTGTTTTAAATGAACAGGGAAAGTTAATGAGAGCAGCCCCGTGTTCCCAAAAGTCATCAGATATATTTCTTCCTCTTGGACACAGCAATCCTGTTTTTTACAGGATTAAAATAAAAGAAATTAAATTTTCAGTGCAGAGTTTTCAAACAGGAAAAAATACCACCAAGGGAGACATTACTGACTGGCCAGGGCAGAATCCATCCCCAGAAGCCAAGCTATCAGGCTCACTGGATACTAGGACAGGAATTCATTTGATTAACAAATTTCAGAGCTATAGCTACAGAACCAAGGACACCCCACCCCCACCCCTATAATATATAAGTGGAAAAAGAAATGATGTGCCCACAGCTTTGAGAGAAAGCTAGTGCAACCCCAAGGAGGGCCTGGTGTTTGATTCTGCTACACAATTTTTATTCCCCTTAGTCACTTACCATTAAAACAGTTTGCCATAACGTGTTTATTTTTAAAGTAAACTATAATAAAATGCTTTTCTGGGCAGTGACTCTGTGTCAATACACCTGTCTTGTCCCTCTAGTTATGTTTTCACAAATTGGTAGCCGCGGGGTTCTGCCTGTTCTGTAGAGGCTGCCTTTGCAGAATATTTTAACTCTGCCTCACTGAGCAGCTGAGTGGTTTTTGCATCTTACTGTCAAGAAAAACTTTCACCATTAAAAACTGCATAATAGAAAAATTGCCATTTTGAAGTGACTCTGTGAGAACAGTGGTCATTCTTTTTACATATTTTTACATATCTAAAGGACAGAGCTGTGCTGGCTTGGGTTTACCCCAGCTGGGATCTGACATTGATTGTTCTGTGGAAGAAAGACAAGTTACAGAGACTGCACAATGTTTTGGGCCAATTGCAAGGGAGATGGTGATGGGCTCAGGGGGCCTTTTTTTTTTTTTTTCCTTCTCTTGGGTGCATTCCAGTTCTGAGAACCAACCATAAGAAAGTAGGCACCTGCGAAGAGCAGGAGAAGAAGATTAACATTAAACAGGGATGAGAGGTGGGAGGGAAAGGGAGAGAGAAGGGAAATTGCATGGAAATGGAAGGAGACCCTCAGGGTTATACAAAATTACATACAAGAGGAAGTGAGGGGAAAGGGGAAAATAATACAAGGGGGAGAAATGAATGACAGTAGAGGGGGTAGAGAGAGAAGAGGGGAGGGGAGGGGAGGGGAGGGGGGATAGTAGAGGATAGGAAAGGCAGCAGAATACAACAGACACTAGTATGGCAATATGTAAATCAATGGATGTGTAACTGATGTGATTCTGCAATCTGTATATGGGGTAAAAATGGGAGTTCATAACCCACTTGAATCAAAGTGTGAAATATGATATATCAAGAACTATGTAATGTTTTGAACAACCAACAATAAAAATTTAAAAAAAAAGAAAGTAGGCACCTGTGTGGTTGAATTAAATTAAATTAAATTTTAATTAGTACTTAAATTAATTTAATATTTGGTCATTAAATTGTTGAAGAGGGTACAAACATTTGCAAATTTACATCGTTCTGCAAGGTGGTAAGAGATTAAAACAACCAGAAATTTGTGGACAATCTGGACAAATGATATCCAGTGTCTGGAGGGCCTCTGTCCTTCTTTCATATGGAAACTGCATCCTTGGAGTGGGGCCATCCTGAAACACAAAGGGCATGTGGTTATGGAAATGAGATTTCCCTCAGCTAATCAAGCTGGTAGGTAAAAGGTACAGTGTTCCAAGTAGGTGGGAACAAGCTCCTCTGTGAAGTCATTGTTTGTTTTCTGAGAGGACCAGTTTAAGAGCATTTTTCAGGGCAACAAAGCATTTCTCACTGACAACAGTGAAGGTATCCTCTCTATCCTTTTCTAGTTCATAGCAGCACAATTCACAATAGCTAGAATGTGGAACCAACCTAGATGCCCTTCAATAGATGAATGGATAAAAAAAAAAATGTGGCATTTATACACAATGGAGTATTACTCTGCACTAAAAAATGACAAAATCATGGAATTTGCAGGGAAATGGATGGCACTAGAGCAGATTATGCTAAGTGAAGCTAGCCAATCCCTAAAAAACAAATGCCAAATGTCATCTTTGATATAAGGAGAGCAACTAAGAACAGAATAGGGAGGAAGAGCATGAGAAGAAGATCACCATTAAACAGGGACGAGAGGGGGGAGGGAAAGAGAGAGAGAGAAGGGAAATTGCATGGTAAAGGAAGGAGACCCTCATTGTTATACAAAATTACATATAAGAGGAAGTGAGGGGAAAGGGGGAAAAAAACAAGAGAGAGAAATGAATTACAGTAGATGGGGTCCAGAGAGAAGATGGGAGGGGAGGGGAGGGGAGGGGAGGGGAGGGGGGATAGTAGAGGATAGGAAGGGCAGCAGAATACAACAGACACTAGTATGGCAGTATGTAAAAATGTGAATGTGTAAGCGATGTGAATCTGCAATATGTATACGGGGTAAAAATGGGAATTCATAATCTGCTTGAATCAAATGTATGAAATATGATATGTCAAGAGCTTTGTGATGTTTTGAACAACTAATAATAAAAAAATTAAAAAAATAAAGGGGGAAAATAGCAATGAGTTGCCATGTCTAGAAATCCTAATTACTACTTGTAGATTAAGGTAGAATTCGGATAATTTGACAGAAAATAAAAATTTAAAAAAGAAGAAAAGGAAGGAGAAAAAGACAGTGAGAAAGGGGAAAGGAGAGGGAGAAAGGAAGGAAGGAGAAATTGTATCTGAATTGTCCAAAGCTTCTCAGGTTGCTGGGTGAAAAGTGTACAACCTAATGCACAGCTTTTCAAAATTCCAAACTCAAGCCTTATCTTTCAGACACAGAAGGTAGGTTTAATTTTTTTAATTATTATTATTTATTTATTTTATTTTTTTGCTTTTCCTAAACTGTTTTATTTGTAGAACTTTGGGCTGTAAGAGTTTTTGCAGTGACCTTTCCCTATGGTTTCTGTAAATCATAAATGCTTCAGCACTGGGTTCCTGGAGAAATATGTTTTATAGGCAAAGAGAAATTTCCCTTCTGCCTTCTGAAGTTTTACTGGAATAAACAAAGAAAAATTGGAGAAAAAATACAAATTTATTTCGTGCACATAGGCAATGACATAGTGTAATTAACCACTAGCCCAAAATATTTCAGAAGCTTATGTGCCCCCTTTGTCTATAGGATAGGGTGAGAATGAGAAATGTAGACAATTTTGAAGGGTCTAAATTTGCTAGGAGAATGAATGGTTCCAGAAACAATCTTGAATTTGCCCAGGGACAGACAGTCTTTTTTTCTTTTTCTTTCTTTTTTATTTTATTTATTTATTTAGCTGTAGATGGACACCATACCTTTATTTTATTTATTTATTCTTTTGTGGTGCTGAGGATTGAACCCAGTGCCTCACACATGCCAAGCAAGCGCTCTATCACTGAGCTACAACCCCAGCCCCCAGATGCTGTCTTATAAAGGAATTCTGTCCAGGTGTGGTTACATTCCTCAGGCTTCTCTCCAGAGACAGGTGCAGATGGAAGGCAGTTGTGTTCCTCTTGCAGTCAGATGTTAATGCATGTACAGAAATTCCAAAGCAAGCTCTCCTGCTTTTTTGTTGTTGTTGTTGTTGTTGTTGTTGTTGTTCCTGGGATTGAACCCAGGAGTGCTTAAACACTAAGCCA